CCCCCCCCGGTCTCTTTGTAGAGATGAGGGAAAGCTGTTTAGAAAACCACCACGCCACAACCCTTCCGTTTACTTTCCCCCATTTCTCTCCCCGCTTTTCATTTTTACTTATTTATTTATTTTGCTAGGGGCCACGGTACCTACCTTGGGGACGAGAAGCTGATCGCCTCGGTGGCTGGCGTTGTCGAGAGAGTGAACAAACTGGTGTGTGTCAAAGCATTAAAAACGAGGTGAGAAAAGAACTTGGGTTCAAAATGCGTGACGCCGGGAATCACAAGCAAGGCGCGTAGTGGAGTACCGAAGGTGGACTGCTGTTTTCACGCAACACAAGTGGAGGATAATTTTTTCGGTGCAAAAGGCCCATGCAAAACAAGCAGAGGGTAACTGTCTGTGCAAAGAGGATAACGATCTGTGCAAAAGGCCCACATAAAATAAGCAGAGGATACCTTTTTCTCTGCAAAAGGCCTGTGCAAAACAAGCAAAGGAAAACTTTTTCACAGTGGTGATAAGCGTGGCATTCTCCGTCTTAACGCTAGTGCTAAGAAAGTAATGTTCTTAATTTAATGGTCTTAAATAAAAAAATGCAAACTTATTAATAATAGTTAGACTTGCGGCTAGGAATAATTCTTCAGTGTCTTTAAGGGGCCTTGCTGCTTCAGGTATAGTACATTGTTTCCAAATATTTGATGTAATATGTGGTGTCAATGCTCCATGTATTAACAGCTTATGCACCTAACACCTAAACAGGCATCTGAAAACTTGGAGAAGAAAGAAATATAAACATTCAAAAAGAAACTTTTGTTTGTTTTTTTACTTACCCTGAAGCCTTTGAATTTGTTTTTTCCTACACGTTGAAAATGTTACGGAAAGAGTAAAAACCAAGAAACGTTGTTCCCATGAAATAAACATGAACCTAATTTTAGGAATCCAGGGTGCACTTTATGTAGATTATGTTCTTAAATTTGCACGTTGAGCGTATCAGGAAAATTGCTACGGAAAATAAAATCAGGTTTTTGTTTTTCTTGAACCAACCCTCTTTTTTCTTCTGGGGGCTTCAAAATATCCAGAACTGAGCTGGTGATATATATGTTGGAGAGATGGGCCTGGTGCAGAAGCTAACCCTTTAAATTAAATTCATAATTCTCAGCGGAAGACTTTGGTGCATTTTCTTGATTATCATATGTCTGAGCTTTTCCTTCGGATATCTGATTTAAGGCTGTAAAGTAACCAACAGTCTCACGGGGTCTTTAAAGATTAGCGCATTTATTATGGCTAAGGTTACATGTACTACCTTTAGCTGGGGAATCATTGAGTTTGAATAATGTTTCTTTCTGATTTCCTGGCAGGTACAATGGGGAAGTCGGAGATATTGTGGTTGGGCGAATTACAGAGGTAACATCTTGATTTATACACACACACACACACACACACACACAAATGCGTAGCCAAAAATATGCAGAGGAGCAAGAATTCTGTAATTTTTTTTCCCAGTGGAAGTTCTGAATTTGTATATTTTTTTAAGGGTCTATTGAAAACATTTGCTGTTGCTTTTCTGTGCTGCTGATGCGTCCACTGTATGGAACAATTTGTTAGAAATGTGAGATATAGGATAATAGCTCCTAAATTGAGACTTGCAGAGGAATGGTGTGGTTTACGACAACTGGCTGTCGTCAAGCACCCGCCAAGTGTTTTGTATTTCAGCTCCTGGGATGACCCTGGTGGATAGCAGTTTGGAGAAGTTTGGATTTAATTTTTTTTCTTCTTAATAATTTTTTAGGTTCAGCAGAAACGGTGGAAAGTGGAGACCAATTCTAGGTTAGAATCTGTGCTCCTTCTTTCATCCATGAATCTTCCAGGAGGAGAACTGGTGAGTGAACTTTCAGACCATTGGAAATGTTGCCTTCCTTGAGAAATGAGTAGGGTTTTATACGGATGATTATTTTGATTTTTTAAAAATTTATGTTTATTTATATATCAAATTTGCCATTGCCCATCTCATTGAAAAGCGACTCTGGGCGGTTTACGAAGGAGATAAAATCAGTTAAAATGCAATATAAAAACAATCTTAAAAATAATAAATAAATTCCAAGAACGATGGAATTGGCAAATAATTCAGGAGTGACATCGTTTTACTCTGATGATTTGATCATATATATATTAACTTTTGCGGTCTTTAATCAGCAAATGCATTTAAAAGGTGTTGCCTCATTTCAGAGGCTCTGCCCATTTTACTGGGTAGGGCTAGGCATGCCCCCCCCCCCAAAAATACTGTGTATCCTCATCAGATGAAATTGCTATTTTAAAATAATGGACTGCTTCCTTCATATTAAATGGGATGCCTCTTCCAAGTAATATAGCATGATTTGTTTGGATTTGGACGCAGGGCAAACCTAGCCACAGTGCTTCTGTAAACCATGATTTATAGCTTAATGAAGAGCATGAATCCAGCCATCCGACTGACCACGGCTTTGAGTGATAAGAAATTAGCCCAAGGTCTCCTCGCGTCCAATGTTGTGGCTTTATTTTGGAAGACTGATTCAGGCCCTTCCAGTTAAATGGGTGAAGATGTCTCAATCAAATCCTTATTATGGTCAAAGACCAGCATGGTAAAGAGGTCTTTTCCTAGGGCACACCCTGATCGTTTTCCACGCTTCGGGGCGTGCGTTTTTTTATTCCACAGAGACGGAGATCCGCAGAAGATGAGCTGGCCATGAGAGATTTCCTCCAAGAAGGAGACCTTGTCAGTGTATCCTTTTTGGGGAGTTAGGAGAACATCTAAGAACCTTTAGCACCGCCTGGCCCCGACCCCACTGCTGATGGAGCGCCACCGTCCATAATCCGGGGATGATAGGAGCTGCGTTCTGTCACTTCTGCAGGTCGCCATGTTGGCCACTTGAAGACTTTTGGGGTTGATTGGGGTTCAGTCCTGTCTGAACCTGTTTTCTGGGCATGCGGGCCCATAATGCTGAGCTAACCAATCAAGCTGGATTTCCGTGGCTTGCTAAGAGTTCACACCCTCTTATTCCTCTTTTAAACCCCCAGGTCCTTAAAGAGAGAAGCCTTCTCTTTCATTCCCACACCCTGCCCCAGGGTAAATTCTACATAATACGAGGACAATACCCAACTTGGCCTTAAATATCTGAAATCTGCCTTGGAACACAGCGTACATGAGTCTGGCCTTGTGTTAGAAGCAATCTTTGGAGAAGCCAAACCTTGATAGGTGCTCCTTTTCCGCTGGAGCGGTTCCTTTCCCTTCTCGCTGTTCTCCATTCTTTAAATGTCTGTGAATCTCCGACCTGCTAGTCTAACCTATAAAAAGAAAGTGTGTGTTTAAGGCCTGCCCCCTGGCATACTTACACTGAGTTGAAAGTGTGCAAAAGAAAAGGAGGTTGAATAATCTCCAGCCATTAATCATCTTTTGGGTGGGTGTTCTGGAGGTGATGGTAACTCGCCGTAGGAGATCCAGCGTCTTCTAAGCTGGCATAAATGGATGGTGGCCATCTTGAGGTTGCTGGACTACATCTCCCAGCAGCTTTTGCCAACACAGCTGGCAGAAGGAGATGCTGGGAAGACTAATTCATCCCCTTTGGAAGGATCTCGAGAACTTGGAATGAGTTCAGCCGTCTGTTGATTTTGTATCTATAGGTGGTGGGAATGCGGGGGAAAACCCCTGTAGTTGTTTCATTTCCTTAAAAGCTCCTGCCAGGCTGAAGTCCAGGCTGTGTTTTCTGATGGGGTGGTATCTCTCCACACTCGGAGCCTCAAATATGGAAAGGTGAGCCGCCTTTAAAATGTCTTGATGCGTTGAGAGATCTCTGCTCTCTGTAGTGGAGAGAAGGAATGACCTTGAGGAACTGGAGGAAGAGCTGTAACCGAAACCATGGTCAGATAAGAGAAAATAAATTGCATGGAGGTGGAAATTAAAACGGGGGGGGGAACGGAACTGCTGAACTTCATTGAACTTGATGATTCCTCTTCTTTTTGTTCCCCACCCACTTTTAAACCCCATAAACCAGTTTTATGGGTTTAATCCAGGCAAGAGCAATGTTCTTCCTAAGGTTTGAAGTTCTCTTGCTGTGATTAATGGCCCATTTTTTCCATGATCTTAGTTCTGCCACCTTGCTTTTCCAGCTCTCTGACAATTTCTGGTCACCATGGCCTTGTTTCTCATTCCAGCTTGGCCAGGGAGTGCTGGTCCAGGTATCTCCATCGCTGGTGAAGCGTCAGAAAACTCACTTCCACGACTTACCTTGTGGGGCCTCCATCATCCTTGGCAACAACGGGTTCATCTGGATTTACCCGACCCCTGAGCAGAAAGAGGACGAGGCTGGGGGGTTTGTGGCTAACCTGGAGGTGAGTCGAGGGTTCTGGGATGGGACAATGGAAGAGTTTCCAAAACTTTGGGGAGCTCGTAACTGCAGGAACTCTGTCTTTCTTAGTTCCATTAGAACAAGGTTTTTGCAAACCATATTCCATGGAACCTTGGGGGTCTGCAAGAACTTGATGTCCTTCTTCAAGAGGCAAAGCACGAAAACAACAATATCAATTCACTTGCAGCCAGTTTTTTACCACTACAGCTTCGCCTCTTGATCTCAGATCCTGGGATTTCTTTTCAACTAAGGCAGTGTTTCTCAAACTTGGCCACTTTAAGACATGTGGATTTCAACTAACATTATTTGTTAGATAACCGGGATAAATCTATCTCCTGTTGCAATATTTTGCCACGTTATGTGTAAGCTTCGCCCACCAATGGTTTCCAGTAGCCATTGATCTTAGGGGCGAATTTTGCTTTGTTTGTTTCGCTGAATGCATTTTTATTGGTCAATGACCAAAATAAAGTTTGTCTGTCTGAGGAATCTGGATATTAAAACTAATTAATAGGATTATGGAACTACTGGGGAAGTAGCTAAAATGCTTATGCACCAAGTACTAAGCTGGTAAGGAGAAGGTATGCATCTTTTTTTTTCAGCCAGTGCCTCTGTCCGACCGTGAGATCATCTCCCGCCTCCGAAACTGTATTGTTGCTCTGGTGTCACAGAAGTTGACTTTGTATGATACCAGCATCCTTTACTGCTATGAAGCTTCCCTTCCTCACCAGGTAGCACATCCTTTCTGTTTGGGATCTTCTGTTGGCTTGTTCAGTTCTGTGGGCACCCAGGTCTCCGCTTGAACGTTCCTCAAGGTTATGCAAAACCCAGGTCTCTCTTCCAACCCCATGGCAGTATTTAGGGCAGCCTTATACAGAGTTGGCTTACAGGCCCCATCATTCTCAGCAGGTAGGTTCAGGGGCTACAGATATTAGGTGGGATGAGAGTTTGAAATTCATCTGGAGGACCTCAACTCATGGGAGGCTGACTTTTGAGTTCTTGCATTCAAAGTATCTTGCGGGCATTTCAAAACTCAGTCTCGCTCTTGGCTCAATGGACGTTGAGAAGCTTCGGGAATGGGCAGGTCAACCTCTCTCCTGGTTGGTTAACCATCTAGAGGAATTCTTGTCTGTAAACTGCTCTCTTGCTGGAACTCAAGTCAGTAAGGGTGCTTCCAAGGCAGAAGGGGAAAGTGTGAGACCATCTAGATGCCCCCTTCTTTCTTCCAGATCAAAGACCTTCTCAAGCCAGAGGTGATGGAGGAGATCGTGTTAGAGACACGGCAGAGGCTTCTGGAATTGGAAGGATGATGGCAGAGAATGAGTGGTGAGGAATGGCAGGGATTCATCCATTCATCCATCTCTCTATTTGCTTCTCTCTTGTTCTGGCACAGAACTTCTTAGAAAGTCCTGTGCTGAAAAGAAGCAGCAGCAGCAGGAGGAACTTGGAAACCATAAGGAAATGCTGTCCATCTGTCCATCTTCTTTCCTTCCTAGAACATCATCATCAAAGACTCTGATGTCTCCTGCTCCATTTTACCTTAACTTGGAAACATTACTGGAAAAAAGATTCTAGACTCATTAAGGGGAGGATGAATAGAAAGCAAGTACTCACTGTGATTCTCATCCTTCACTTTCTTCCAACAGCATCGGTGTACATTCCTGTCTTTTATTTCTGCCTTCTGGAGCCTTGCTGCAGCGTTTGCCCCCCCACCTGATAGGTGTTTGATTTTGAAATTCAATATCGATTGAAAATCCATTATTGCAGAAGAAGGAGAATTCTTAAGCGCAAAACTACTCATTTAGCAGAAAAAGGACCTGCTGTTGAAAAAGACATTGCCCACCCCCAGTTCCTGTGTAATTTACGCCTCCCCTTTTTAAGCTGGGCATCATCTAAATTTCCATTTTACATCGTTGGTTCGGGCAGCATCCAGATGTAGAGATCGTCCTCTGCTTTTTGGACGGATTGGAACTGATGCGTTTGCAACTTTGCATGCTGGAAAAGAAGAGTTGTGTTTAATTCACAGTGCAACCAAGTTCTGAATTGTCTCCTGTTTGGTTCAGTTCTTTGGATGGGGGTAGGAAATGTTTTCTCGTGTCATCCTAGGAGAAGGGTGGCCTCTGATCCAGCCTGGTCATGGAATTCTGTAGTAGCTGTTGAGCGTTCTCCAAGTTTGGGAGCGGCTGAGGTTTTTGTTTGCAGGGATGTGTAAAAAATGTGTTCAATAAACTTTTTTGGGGGGAAAAAAACTCAGCCACAGGTTTCTGTTTTCTTGAAAGAGGAATCTTCTAATTGCTTCTCCTGATTTATTCGGAGGAGCAGAATTGGAAATAGGTGTAGGGCAGAGTTATATGTCTTCTGGGTCAACTGTTAAGGCAATGAATTGCTCAAGTGAAAGGTCTTAAAAATCCTTTTTTCCCTCTCTTTCTCAACTGGTTAAAGGCACCAAGTTAGAAACTGGGAGATGGTTCGTTCTGGTCCTGTTTTAGACACAAAGCCAGGTGGGGGACCTCGGGCCAGTCCCTCTCTCTCCGCCCTAGGAAGAAGAAGAGAAGGGCAAAACACTTCCAAAAATGTTGCCAAGAAAATTGCAGGGACTTGTCCAGATTGTCATCAGGAGTCAAGACTAACTTGAAGGTGTGTGTGCGCGCACACACACCACTCTTAGATGTTAATTGCAAAACAACGGATTTGAAAATGCTAGTAGTTCCTTAGTAGCTTCTAATGAAGAAATACTAGCATTTTCAAATCCTTTGCAGAGATGGTCTGTTGAGAGCGACTTGTTTTATTGGTATCTGCTTGTAGGAGGGCGGGAGAAACTCTCTTTCATGGTTTAATTTTTCCAGGGGAGGGGGAAAAATCCTATTATTTTGGTCTGAGTGAAGCACTGGGGCGGCTTTCCCTTAAGCGTTTCAGTCCCTTAAAACTTTTTACTGAAATTTCTTCTTGGAAGTAACTGCAAAGAGTCCTGTGGCACTTTGAAAGGTTAATAGTTTTATTAAGGGAGAGGTTTCAAAAGCTGTAGCCCATTTTATCCGTTGCCCAAAATGTCTGGTTCATAATGAACACCCAGTTCTGGGCATGGGGTGATTTTAAGCAAAACTGGAGAAAATATACTATGGGAAATACAGACCTTATTAACAAAACCGCTCTGGGTAGTGGAATAGCTATCCAGGTCGAGTGAGTAAATTGATAATGTGCAATTTAAAACAAGCAACTTGTCCTCAAGATAAGAATCGAATCTCTGGATGGATCGAGGCTCGGTCAGAGGAAGACCCAATCTTCAGAATGGTTCCCTAAATTCCATTTGGATTCACCCGCGTTGCTGTGCTGTTATCCAGGCCTATCCCATTGGGACCCCCCCCCGAGGAATATAGTCTTCAACTCCCAGAATTCTCAGCAACGCCGAATGCAGGTGGGGGGATTCTGGGAGTTGAAGTCCACCCTTCTGCAGGGCACCCTGGATCTCCCAGAATTCTCAGCAAAGGCCAGATACCGGCTGGAAAATTCTAGGAGTTGATGTCTCTGTGTTTGTCTGCTTCGAAAAGGATTTCTAAACATTATTTCTGGGATCTGCAAGAGGGTGTCTGCCAGTGTGACACTCATCCCTCCATGCCTGCTGTCTAAACTGAATTAAATCAAATTAAAATGCAATTAAAATCAGGAGGGGTCACACTGCAAAATGAAATTCTGCCCTTTAGCATTATCTGGTAAGTGTGCAGTGTTCCACTCTTAGGATTCCTTCAACTTTTTTTCTTCCCAGTTTTAAAAATACGCGGAAACTTTTTCATTCCTCCGAGATGCCACGGCGATGGCTTCCTGAGCTGTGCTCTCTTTTCTCCAGCCGGGTGAGAAGTGCCATCGATCAACAAATGTTGGCTTTACGGTCCCGTTTATCGGACGGGGCGGCTTTACAAAGCGCCTCTACGTCCGGTCTGCTGGTGCGGATAAAGGGAGCGAATCGGTTTGGCGTTGGCCAAATGCCGTATCCTGAACTCTAAGGGAGTTTTGGGTGATTCTGTCTTTAAACCAGACCAAACGGGGTTTAGATTGACAAGGAGGAGGCCACGATGCACCACCTGTAGCCAATTGGAGGCTGGGCCGAGTCTTAATCAGTAAAGATTTTTAATATATCCAACCTGTCCTCGCATTTCAGTCTCCTGCCGTTTGGCAGAGGATTGCTGCTCCCTCATAATAAGAAAGATACCCTTAAAGGATTTTAAAAGTGGGGGGGATTTATAATATTCCTTCTATGGATTGCATGCCAAGCAACTTTGGCTCCCTGCCTCAAACCCCCCCCCCCAAATTAAAATCTCTATTCCTTTCTGGATGAAAATTGCAGGAGGCAAATAAGCGAAGGCGTTTGTATTCCACGTTTTTCGAGGGTAAGGTTTTAATTGCTTATTCCAAGTTTCTCTGCTTGACGGTCGCTGCTTTGAAGGCGTTGGGTATACTTCGCTCTTGCTACTGTTGCATCCGGACTTCGGAACAAAAGCAAACGAAGGAAACATGAGTTCCTTACGTTTTTACATTTTTTTCAAACTTGCGTTTTATGATACAGTTTTAGGGTTTTGCTTTACGCTCGGTGGTTTTAGTAAAAAAAAAAAAAGGGGGGGGGAAATCTGTGTGTCTCGTCTCTTAACTAAGTGACGTCCTGCCCCGAGGGCGCTCCTGGCAGAGGATGATGGGTGCCAGAGCCCAGCACGACCGACGAGAAGCAGGTTGGAGAATGGGCGCGGGCGGGGAGGAAAGGCCTTGGGCTGTGGAGGATGGGGGTTGTGGTCCAGTGTGTTGGGGGTGGAGAGGAG